TCAGTGTGTGTGTGTGTGTGAATAATAAAAATGATTTTTCATGATGCAGCAAATACTGATCTCATCACCTTCTCTCACCCCCCCTCACCCCTCCCCCTCTGTAGAAATGAAGATGCTATAAACCAGATGGCTGTCCCCCCTTTCCCTCCTCCCCCTCCTCCCCCTGTGCTCAGCCCTGAGGTAACGCCACACACACACACACACACACACACACACACACACATGGCCAGAAGTATGTGGACACCATTCAGCACAGTTCAACTACTTTAATGTGAATATTGTTAAATCAACACTGTGTAACTTTTACCCAGCAACAGCGCCCTCTGCAGTGTGTCTCTCCCCCTGGTGTCCCCGCCCCCTCAGACGGACTGTGCCCCCCCAACAGCCTGGTGCTCCACCCACCACCATCCTCATCATCATCTTCATCTTCGGAGACGCAGGTGAGTCTGACGCTGCTTCACACTCACCAGTGGGGTGGAGCTGACGAGGCGGTAACTGTGACGGATCTGACGCCACAGGACAAGACGAACGACGAGGCCGAGCTCAACAACAGGACCAGAGGCAGCGTGAGCGCCCCCCAGAGTCTGAGAGAGGCCGACACCCTCAGACAGGTGCTGCATTAATGAACTGTTACCTCAGAGCAGTGATTCTCAAACTGTGTGGTGCGCCCCCTGGGGGGGCGTGGCAGCCTGACAGGGGGGGCGTGGCAGCCTGACAGGGGGGGCGCGTTCCGTTCTTTGGTTTTTTTTGCGGTAAACCTAATATTTTACCTGGAAAGAGAAAGAGACAGAGAGAGAGAGAGACAGAGAGAGAGAGAGAGAGAGAGACAGAGAGAGAGAGAGAGAGAGAGACAGAGAGAGAGAGAGAGAGACAGAAAGAGAGAGAGAGACAGAGAGAGAGAGACAGAAAGAGAGACAGAGAGAGAGAGACAGAAAGAGAGACAGAGAGAGAGAGAGAGACAGAGAGAGAGAGAGACAGAGAGAGAGACAGAGAGAGACAGAGAGAGAGACAGAGACAGACAGAGAGAGACAGAAAGAGAGACAGAGAGAGAGTAGAGATTCTTCTTCCTCCAAAGGGGGTGTGTCAGAAGTTTGAGAACCACTGCCTTAGAGGATCCTGATTGGTCCGAACTGTTAACCGCAGAATAAACATGGATGACACGACAGCTCCCAAAAGTGAAGCCATCTGGCCGCCCCCTGGTGGCTGGCTGCAGTATAGGTCATAATTTGAATCAGGGATTTTTTAACAAGAGAAGCGTCGTCCGTCTTTATTTTCAGTCAGCGCTCAGGACCACTGGGGTTCAGACACTGGGGGACATCCTGGAGTCTGGAGACATGAATTCTACTGAGAATCCAGGTCTCACCACAAACTCATCAGGTTCAACCTCCACGAAAAATTCATTTTTACACTAAAAGAGGATTTTGTCCTCCGTCCTCCTTCTCTCACATTCACAGAAATGATTTAACCCACAACAGGTTTGATCTGTTTTCACCACAAAACTCCAGACTCGTGACACGTTCACATGTTTGTTGGTGAAACTTCATCAGGATCAACTTCACATTAGAGTTTTCAAAACTTTCTCAGACTCAAGTGTTTTATTGTGTCCCAGAAACCTGCTTCCACCACAGAATCAGGACAGTGACTGTGTGTGTGTGTGTGTGTGTGTGTGTGTGTGTGTGTGTGTGTGTGTGTGTGTGTGTGTGTGTGTGTCCTGCAGAGGCTAAAAGAGTCCCCAGTCATCGAGCTGCAGGCTCCGCAGGTGTTGCTGGAGCAGCAGGTAACAACCACTGAACAGTTGAATCAGGTTTTGTTCATGTGATGATTTTATTCTGATGAAGAAACTGAAGCTGAGTTAAATTTAGGAAAATCTGTGGATTCATGAAATTAAATAACTTTTTTTAATTTTACCATCGAACAGCTGAAAACATCTGTTTGTTCTGTTGTTGTCACTTAATTGATCAATCGACTAATAAAGTGTGTGTGTGTGTGTGTGTGTGCGTGCGTGTGTGTGTGTGTGTGTGTGTGTGTGTGTCCAGTCCTGCAGGTCAAACAGCAGCTCCAGTAAACAGACAGCTGCTGCTCCTCTGATCAGCCCTGACCTGCAGACTGTTAACAGAGGTACACACACACACACACACACACACACACACACACACACACACACACACACACACACACACACACACACACACACACACACACGATGATGATGATGATGAAGAACATTACAGATTATAATTAGAGGATTAAATAATCTTCCTCGTCAGACCCATCATGCTGTGCGGTGGTTCCTGGTCAGGAAACGATGTTGGAGATCTGTAAAGGTCGATCTGGACTTGGACTGAGTATAGTGGGAGGAAGAGACACACAGCTGGTAACACACACACACACACACACACACACACACACACACACACACACATTCAACACTGTGCTACATGTTTTTGACCAGATTCAGTAAAATGAAGCTCAGAGTCTGAAGAAGAAATGAATGTGTTAATGTCCTGGACTGTTTCTCACTCTCTGTTTCTCACCCTCTGTTTCTCTCACTCTCTGTTTCTCCCCCTCTCCCTCCCTCCCTCCCTCCCTCCCTCCCTCTGTCAGGATGCCATAGTGATCCATGAGGTGTATGAGGAAGGAGCAGCAGCCAGAGACGCTCGCCTGTGGGCAGGAGACCAGATACTGGAGGTGACTGATCATCTTCATGAGTGAAAATAAAGATGGACGCCATGACGGCTCCTCAGAAGAGTCTCGATCGCCCCCTGGTGTCTGGCTGCAGTTCAGCACAGAAACCCTCCTCCTCCATGTTAGCAGATGGGACATGGACCAAACTAAAAACTCAGAGTAGAGCAGTTTCTTGAAGTTGAAGGTTTTAGCTCTACAGGGAGATTCTTTGACAGAAGTTGTGAGCTGGAGAGACGTAGCTGTCAGGTTTGGTATCGGACATCTTCACTTCACAGTCTGTGATCTGAACCGACAGCTGACCCATTTGGTTTTCAAACATTTCTTCAGTGTCATTTTTTAAAGTTGATAGATTTGACAGATTCCACATTTTGGCTGAACAATAATGAAACTTTATTTAAATGTGCGTGCGCTCTCAGGTGAACGGTGTAGATCTCCGGGGAGCGTCCCACGAGGAGGCGATCGCCGCCCTGCGTCAGACGCCGGCAAAGGTTTGTCTGACGGTGCTGAGGGACGAGGCTCAGTACAGAGACGAGGAGAACCTGGACATATTTAAGGTGGAGCTGCAGAAGAGGAGTGGCAGAGGACTCGGACTCAGCATCGTCGGGAAGAGGTCCGCCTTAAAAAAATAACAGTTTCACCTGCAGGACACTGTCTGTTACTGTTGGATGGATACAGTGTGTGTGTGTGTGTGTGTGTGTGTGTGTGTGTGT